TTATAACATAGGTGCCAGAACTTGGTGTTGCTGTCCTGCATTTCTTCTGACTGTTGCCTCCCTTACTGCTTACACCTGAGCTAACAAATAACAGCCCTGCCCCTCCAGTCTTCTGAAAATCTGTAAGGTGATTGCTTTAAGCCTCTGCATTTTGGAGTGGTTTGTTATGCAGTAACATTGTAGCAATAGGTAACTAATGCACATAGCTGGTGAGTGAAGTGGGGGTGAGGGGCCGGGATAATCAACACATGTTCAAGATTGTTCAATGTGTGCTATCCTAATAGCAAAATTTTGCAGCCCATTTAAATGCCTGTTAGTAGATTATGGTATACCCACACAATGGAGTATTATGCACTGTAAAACAGAATAAAGAAGATCTTTGTGAATGGATATGAAGTGATTTATACATTATATTTTAGGGTAAAAGAAAAAACAAGGGTAAAAGAGTAATTGAAACATGTTGCCTTTTATGTGAGGAAAAAGGGGAAACACACACACTTTTCCAAAAAGAAATGTAAGAACGGTAAACCAGAATCTAATATGATTGGTTTTCTATCAAGAGTATGTGTTGCAAGGTATAAGTGAAAGTGCAAGAGAATGGGACTCCCAGTGTTCCTTTTTTTTTGAGTTGAAATCTCACTCTGTCACTCAGGTTGGAGTATAGTAGCACGGCCACCGCAGCCTGGACCTGCTGGGCTCAGGCCCTCCTTCTGCCTCAGCCTTCCAAGTAGCTGGAACTACAGGCACATGCTACTATGCCTGGCTTATTCTTTTATTTATTGTAGAGGTGAGGTTCCACCAAGTTGTCTAGGTTGGTCCTTTTCTTATAGTTCTAAATTTTGGATCATGTTAATGTTTTGCATATTCAAAATAAATAAAGTTGAATCAATTGAACTTTAAAATTTAGTTTATAAAAATTAAACCCCAAAATAGAAATAAGTGAAACTAATTGAATGTCAAATTGAAAAATGACAAAGAGAGAAAGAATTAATCTAAACAAAATTTAAATAGAATACTCTGACTATGCATTCTCAGTGGAATCTCTTCTAAGGACAAAAAGAACTGCAAAGGAATTTTTTTTTTTTTTGAGTTGTCACCCAGGCTGGAGTGTAATGGCATGCTCACAGGTACCTCAGCCTCAACCTGCTGGGATCAGGAGATACTTCCACCTCAGCCTTCCAAGTAGCTGGAGCCACAGGTGTGTGCCACCACACCTGGCAATTTTCTTTTTTAATTGTAGAGACCAACTCTCCCCAAGTTGCCCAGGCTGGTCTCGAACCTGTGGGCTCAGGCAATCCTCTCACCTCCACTTCCCAAAGTGCTGGGATTACAGGTGTGAGCCACCATGCCTGGCTTGCAAAGGAATTTTGAACTTAGTAGGCTTGTTGTTGGTAGTGTTAAGGGCATAGCAAGTCTTTCTTGAAAATTCTAACACTTGATTTACATATCACAAAATACACAAATCTTACATGTCAACTGGATGACTGTTTACAAATGTATATGCCTAAGTACCCATTACCCAGATCCAGATAAAGAATATTTCCATCATCTGGAAAGTTCCCTTGTGTCTTATCTCTGCCGCACAAAGTGATTATTATTTTGATCTGTTTTACCATAGATGGGCTGTGCCTGTTTTTGAACACCATTTAAATGGAACCAAGCATTATGTATTATTTTGCATCTAGCTTCTTTCCCTTAGTACCTTTTAGAGATCCAAGCTGTTCAGTCTTTTCTATTGGTAAGTAGAATTCCATTGTATGAATATACCGTAGTTTATCCATTCTGCTATTGATAGACACCTGAGATGTTTTCAGCTTTTGATTATTATGAATAAAGTTGCCATGTTTCTTAGTTGGCTTAGGTTGCCATAACAAGATACTATGTGGTATGGTTGGGTGGGTTTAAAAAAACAGAGATTTATTTTCTCACAATTTTGGAGACTAAAGATTCTAAGATCAAGCCCTGGCAGATTCAGTTTTTGGTGATGGCTCTCCTCCCAGTTTATAGATGGCTGTCTTCTTGCTGTGTGCTCACATGGCCTTTTCTGGGTGCGTGCATGCAGAGCACACTCTGGTGTCTCTCTTTCTCTCTTCTTATAAGGGCACTAATCCCATCATGAGGGCCCCACCCTCATCTAAACTCCCAAAGGCCGCATCTCCAAATACCATCACATTAGAGGTTAGGCCTTCAACATATGAATTTTAGGGGAACACAATTCAGTCCACAGAATTTTGTATTTTGGTGGACACATACACACTCTTCTGTAGGATATATACACAAGAGTAGAATTTCTGGGTCAATGGACAGGGATATGTTAATTCTGACAAAGTATGAGAGTTCCAATTACTCTACATTTTCACTAACATTTGGAATTGTGGGCATATGCTGCTATCTGAATATAGCTCTAATTTGCATTTCCCTGATGGCTATTGGACTTTCTTGTTTCATGTGATTTTCAAATTATTGGTATCAAGTTGTTCCTAAAATTCTCTTATAACTTCAGTAAGTTCTTTAGAATCAGTAGTGATATTCCCCTTTTCATTCCTGATAGTAGTTATGTGGCCCTATACTTTTTTTCTTCATCAGTTTCACCAGGGAAATGGAGTGCTTTTAGTTTATAAATTGTTTTCAAGGTCTCCTGTCGGCTTTCTTGACTTTCTGCCCTCTTGCTTCCCTCCCTCTTTCCCTTCCTGAATAATTCAGTCTAAAAGTCACTAGATTGGGCCAAGCAAGGTATATACTGAGTAGGGGAAAGAGTTTGCAGCTCACGTTAGGGTGTCGGAACCTGAGAAAGGTGAGAAGACTGCCCACATGGAAGCAATGGCAGAAGTGGGTGGCCCAGTGGAGGGTGTTGAGCCTGAGTGAGTTGGAAGGATTGTGAGAGCCTGAGCAGAGTGAGGGCACCTACCCAGGGGAGCCACAGTAGTGGCCTAGCCCAGGTTATCAGAAACAAAGTAGAAGGAGCTGGGGGCTGGGCTTGGGTTTTATAATGCTCTGACAGTTGTGCAGTGGGAACAACCATGGCAGTTGGGGGTAGGGTGTTGGAGCTTGAGCAGGGCAAAAGCATTCGAATGGCACAGCCATGCAGTATGAACAAGGAATTCGCATGGCAGGGAGAAGCAGTAGTGGCCCATTGTGGGCTATGAGAGCACAAGGAGGGTGAGGGTGGCATCCATGCAGGCAGCATTGGCAACTTGGCCTAGGAAGTCAGAGCCTGAATGGGACAGGGACTTGTGTGCTGGTGGGAGGAGGCAGCAGAGACCTAGAGTGGGATGTTGGAACCTGAGTGAGGTGAAGAGATTGTCCACATGGGAAGTGAGCAGTGATGGGGAGTTAGCTGGTTTTACCTGGGGGGTTTGACTGAATACATTGAAGATGATGGGAGCCAAGTTTTTGTTAGACAAGTCTTCCTCATTCTTTGAGCATTTCCTTACTGTCTAGCATGAGGCAATGCTTTAGGCTCATCCTGTAGTTTCCCTGCTCCAGCCCTGAAATCAGCCATTTCTCCAAGGAGCACTGGTTCCTTCCAGTGGAGAAGAGTGTTTAGAAATCAAGATCTGGGTGGTAGGTGTACTCATTACTATTGAAGCATCACTGCTATCAGGTCAGAGGAAGGGAATATACACACCCACACGCATCCAAAGACATCTATCTAGATATTGAAAACTGTTCATTCACACTGGTACCTCCAATTACAGCCCAACACCACAGGGTTTATTCTAGTTTTTCTCCCATTCCATATTTAAGTGAGAGGCTATTTTGGGGGGAGACAATTCTCTCTGGGTTTATTATGCTTCTGCATGTCTTGTGGGCAGAGGCATTACCAGACTGTTCCAGACTATCTTAAGGATTTTTGTACAGCAAATGGCCTTAGAAGACAGAGTGACTATCTCCCTAAGACTATGGTTCATTAGTTATGATGCAAACCTACTGAGTGTGCAGACTCCACTTGGGCCTGCCTGTGTTGCCCCAAGGGACTTGGATGGCAAAGGGGACCAAGGCAAACATGCTGCCTGCTGTGCTCTGGGCAATAGTCTCTGCCTAAGGAATCTCATGTCTTCTGCCAGCATCCATGAAACCATCTCCCTCACATAATGAGGGTGTTGAAAGTTCTGCTCAGATTCTCAGTCTCTTAGATGCCTCTTTCAGATTTGGCAGGTACCCTTATGGGAAAAGTGGTTCCAAATCTGAGGCTCACTTCTCTGAATTTCCTTCTTGTTCTGGATTTTGGTCCTGTAACTCATCATTGCCACGAATGTTTTCAAATTGATGCTGTTTATATTATGTACAGCTTTCCTAGTTGTTCTCTGTGTGCACTGAATCCAAATTTCCTTGTCTACTATGAAAGTGGTAGATAGTGAAGGCAATTTTCAACTCCAAGGTTTCAGGGCCACCAAAAAGAAACACACATGTTCTCAGAAAGAAAAGACCTGTCACAAGAAGTATCGCCAGCTTCCTGGGTCACACACATACCAAATTGGTTCAAATATACCTGAAAATAAACAGGCTACCTAGCCCTCTAGATCCCTCCAATCAATACCTATTAGACTTTGAGGCTTAAATCCCAATACTGGTGACATCTTTGTAAAAGTCTTCCCACTCTATCATTACCCTCACATCCCCACTCAGTCAAAGTAAAACCTTCTCTCCCCTGCTCTCCCACAGGACTTCATTCCTTGTTAGGGTACTTCTCCATCTCTGCCATGTGTACTGTTGGCTGACTATCCAACTTCATAATTAGCAACTTGAGGACCATATCATGTCTTAACCATCTTTGCATTTTTCAGAATGTCTTGACTACAGAATCCAAGAAAATAAATGCTTGCATAAGACAACAAAGGAAATGAAGAAATAAGAAGAGCAGGAGAAAACTAAGGGTGTGGGACTAGGAAAGTCAAGAGAAGAGAGTGTTTCTGGAGAATGAAGTAATCTTGAATGCTGTTGAGAAGTCAGAATGATGAAGCCTGAAAAATATCCACTAAATGTGGCAGCATGGAGAATTCAGCAGGATACTGACTTTTATTTAGGAAAATAGACCAAACGTTGCTTATATAGAGTCACTGCATTTTTCAGGCAAGTCAATTAGGCAAGTTCCTCCTTTGAAGAAGGATGAATGGTTTTCAGCAAAAAGAGGAGTCATCATTCTTCTGAACCACTAAGTAAACTCCAGAGAAGAGGTAGATTGAGAGCTAGATTCTGGAGTATGTGCAGTAGTGAGCTAGGCCCTTAAGCAGGTAGTGCCCAGCAGAGATGGCACCATGAGCCCAGCCTTCTCTGGTCCTAAGAGAATGCTGTGGACAAAAGGTCTAGGAGAAAAGGTGGGGCATTGCCATTAGTCTTCACAGACTGACAGGCCTGCATCAGGCTGGTCCTGGGCCTCCTGTTCCAGCTATGCAGTGGACACCCCCCTCTGGACTGTAGCACACAGGGCCACAGCGCAACTGGGGTTCTTCCTCCTCATACCAGCGCTGTTCACTGAAGTCAGGGAAGAAGGCTGCAATCTCTCTGCTGGCTGAAATCACAGAGTCTGTAATGGGTGGTAAGACAGAGATGGGGTTGTCATAGGGAGTGCTTGGTAGTGGCAAGAGGCAGTCATAATCAGATTCAGAAATCTGTGTCTCTATTCTGCTTGCCTCCCCAGTCTCGGAGCATGTAAAGCAAGTCCATAGGCCACATCTGTCAAGACGGCTACAAAGGTCCACAAACACAAATGGGAAGAAAGCTTATTGGAGGGACCTGGCTGTCAACTTTACCATGCAGCCTGCCCACCAATCCCCAAATATCTTCTCTGATGTGGACAAAGGAGGCAGACTCACCTGAGCCATGGGTGGTGTTGCGGGTGTCGGTAAGGCCAAAACTCCCACGAATTGAATCTGGGGCTATGTAGCGTGCTCGAAACACCCTGGTGGGTCCCATCAGTGTCCTCCATAGCTGAATGGCATCCCTGTGGGCAAGGATGTAGGCTCGGATTGGTCCACTGTGAACAAAAGGTACACATATGAGGAATCTGGTCATCAAGTCTAGGAGGGTATGCTGTGAGCAGGGCCTGAATAAAGGAACACTGAACACCCTGAGAGGTTCTTGCTTTCCAGCTGAGTACCAATGCTGCTTCAAATAGAAGATGATGCAGGGCCACTGCTGATGTACAAAGAAGGCCACAGAGATAAGCACAGTGGCTACAAAACACACAATACTCTTCCTAACAGGTAAGTTTAAGCTCAGAGCTCCAAGCCCATATTTCTTCAGAAATGACATTGATTACAACTTTAAAGACTGGAAAATGAAATGAACGAATCCATTTAGAGGACAAGGGAGATATGCCTCAGTGGATAAAGATGCAGGGACCAAACCATAAGTACCTGGCCATGAACTCCACCAGCCGCTGATAGAAAAAACGTCCTGCAAAGAGAGAGTACCTTCATCAAGATACCTTCACCTCATCTTGGTGTCCAAGATAACTTTTTGTACTTCTACTTCCTTACCTAGAATAACAAAAACTGTTTTAGAGAAAAGAATAAGGACCTTGGGGTCTGAATCCAGGCTATGCCACTTATAACCTTTGTAGTTTCTGATAAGGCATTAACCTCCCTAATTTGGTTTCCCAATCTGTGTACTAGGGATATAACAATACCTACCTTTTAGGGTTGCTGGAAGAATTAATTAATGAGCTTTAGGACAATATCTGGCATAGTAAACATTCACTAAATGTTAACTACTGATATTATTATCAGGACATAAAATTAAGTTTCTGGTTAATGAGGTAGAACCCCCCTGGGGAAAAAAAGAGACTGATAATCATGAAAAGTATGTGTATAAACCAAGATTTTAGAAGACTGGTTGCAATTTCCTACAGTTGGTAGGTCAGAAAGAGTCTGCCATTGTATATTCCAGGTAGAATCTCTCTTGCAGGCCTCTTGGGATTGAGAAGCCTTCCGTTCAGAGGACTATTGGTCCTACCTTCATGCTCTTGGTAAAACCTCTGGCAATCTTCCTTTCTCCACAGTAGTTCTCTCATTCGTACAATAAGGAACTTGTTGCTCAGAATCTGCTGATGAATGGCCTGGATAAAGATCACCCCCAAAATAAAATTCAATCAGCAGACCCAGGCTGACCAAAAGAAACCATGAGGACCGTTTGGAGCTTAGGACTTGAGAGACACAAGAAAAAGAAGGTGGGGCGAGGTTAAGACCTTCAGTTATACAGCCAGAGTGTGAGTCTTGAGTGGAAGTGCTGTCTCTGCCCTTCCATACCTGCAGCCTAGTGAGCGAAAACCCACAGGACCTGCCACCCAGAAATCTTTTGTTAGTGTTGAGTTTCTCTCACTCTCTCCAAACAATCACCTTTGATTGTAGATTGAAAACTCTCTAGTTTACATGTCACACTTCAGTCAGAAAGTTCTGGGTAGTTCCTGTTTCTAAAGGAATGAAGTACAATCCAGTTTAGCCCAGTGCTCACCCTATACCACTTCCAGTTCTTTTCCCAACCCAGGCTGCCTGTGACCCTCAGGCCCATCACACGCATTCCTGCCCATGTTTCCCTTGTGTGGAATACCTGTCCTCCCAGCACCAGCCAAAGTTCACCCTTTCTTTGAGCCCTGGCTGAGTCCCACCACTTCCAGGTCACCATTCCTGACTACGCTGATCTTCCTCTACACTACAGTGGTCTTACTTGGCAATGCTGCTCAGTTAGTACTTTATCAAACTATGATAGACAGAATCCTAAAATGACCCCCATTCTCACCAAGACTTCCCATCCTAATCCCCAGGACTATGAATATGATGCTGTATGATTATGTTATATTACATAATAAAAGGGATTCTGCAGATGTAATTAAGGCCACTAATCAGTTGACTTTGCTATAATCAAAAGGGAGATTACCCAGGTGGGCCTAATTAATCACATGAGCCTTTTTTTTTTTTTTTTTTCTGAGTTGGAGTCTCACTCTGTCACCTAGATGGGAGTGCAGTGGCCGCTCCCAGCCACTGCAGCCTCGACCTGTTGGGCTCCAGTGATCCTTCCGCCTCAGCCTTCCAAGTAGCTGGAACTACAGGCGTGCGCTACCACACCCGGCTAATTTTTGATTTATTGTAGAGATGAGGTCTCGCCAAGTTGCCCAGGCAGGTCTCGAACCTGCGGGCTCAGGCAATCCACTCACCTCGGCCTCCCAAAGTGCTGGGATTACAGGCTGAGCCACTGAGCCCAGCCTCACATGAGCCCTTTTAAGCAGTTTTCTCTGGTTGGGCTGAAGGAGAAGTCGGAGAGATTTGAAGCATAAGAAAGAATCGATGTATTGCTGTCTTGAAGATGAAGTGTGACAAGGAATGAGTGATGTAAATTGAGGGAAGAGTGTTAGAAGGGGCATTCAAGTTGCCTTGTGGAGCATGTAATCTGGTTTGTGTGACTGTAAGCCTACAAGGGAGTTACCGGGTCAAGAGAAGTTCAAGTTTAAACATTACCTGCCTCTGTCAATACTCTCTTTCTTTTGTGTTTTACAGAAGATTTACAATTTCCACTCCTAAATAGCCTGGCCACAAGGTACAAAGACTAATTCCTCCTTTAAGGCCCTCCATCCCATAGCATTCTCTTGATGGACAAGAATTGAGGTAAGCCGGGCTCGGTGGTTCAGCCTGTAATCCCGTGCCTTTGGGAGGCTGAGGTGAGTGGATTGCCTGAGCCTGTGGGTTCGAGACCCGCCTGGGCAGCGAGACCTCATCTCTACA